TAGGGATGTGTGTGTGTGTGTGTGTGTGTGTGTGTGTGCACGTGCACACACACACACAGATAAGTGCATATCTAATGTTTGTGATATACAGTATATAATCTATAATTTATATCTATACATCTATAAATATGGATAGGTGCATATCTAATGTTTGTGCTGTTGTTTTTTTTAAAAAACTATACCCTTTCTTACAGTAGTAGTGTTAGAAGAAGCACCTATAAATGGAAAAAAGGAAATGAACAGGTATTGGTTCCCTTATACTTAAGATCATTATTAAATCTGCATCAATAAATTCACTCTATTCTTACTGGGAAACAGTAATCTCTGCTCCAGCGTAATTATATTAAAAAGTTATTGCTGCCATCAGAGGGCAGTATTTGCTACGGAGACTACAGTTTCAAGGGTTTTGCTTAAAGAAGTAGCCGGAGAAGTATAGAGAAGGATGTTATTATCAATTTTTCCCGGCTTCTTCTTTAAAAATCCCAGATATAGGCTTCATTTATATTTCAGATCCTGATAAACTTGTAATAAGCATAGATTAATAGCTTTTAAATTAAATTATACCTACAGAAGAAAACCTTAAATCAATGGGTTTGATATGAAAACACTAGTTTTTAGTGACCATAATAACTTAGCTGTTAAGTTGTTGCAAAAATGTAGTTATGGGCAAATAAACATTTATTATTATAATAAATATATGTAGCAGCCACATTCAGTTATCGTTTCCTACATAATTATTTGGAACTCCATGACTAATTATGTCAAGCACTGTCAGCTTTGGCCTCTTACATACAATTTTTTTCTGTGAAACCCAGAGAAAGATTGAAAAACTCTCACTTATCAGAGATTCGTAATTTTAATTTAAGTAACTGTGATTAGCTGTTAACTATGACTGAAAGAAATAAACAAACAAACAGAGAACTGCTACTCTGATAAGCCCTTATAAAGAAATATTCCAGATCAGAATTTGATGGATAGAATTGAGATTTATAAAGTGGATGTTTTCATAGTCCTTCTGGCATATAAACACAAAAAGATTGACACCTGTTCCAGTTCGTTCATATATGTCTAGTTAATTTACACTAAACTACAGATTGGCAGGAGTCTGAATTGTATTAACAGCATAGGTTTCCAAATATAATTATGAAGTAGAAAAATAGCACAAACTGAATATCAGTAGACTTAGGGGGAAAGACCACATTCTCACAAAGGAAATTTTTTGGCATATTATTAATATTGATTTCAATTAGTACTTTCAATTCTTATATTTCCTAACACTTTTATTAAAAATAGTGTGTTTATGTTATTTTAAAGAAAAAGTCAGCCTCCATTTCTGAGCTTACAGACATGCTGCCCTTTATGCAATGGACCTCATAAAGAAAAATCTTAAATTAATTACTCTTTTTTAAAAAAAAAATCTTTCTGGACTAGTCTTCTACACCAGTGGTTTCCAAACTTGGCAACTTTAAGACTTGTGGACTTCAACTCCCAGAGTTCTCCAGCCAGAAGAGCTAGCT